CAAATATTTTTGAAGTGAAGTAGATTTTGGAAAAGGGAATGCATTACTGAGAAAAAAAAATTTCTTGATGTGCAAAAAAATATAAATAAATAATATTGACTTGAAGATCTAGTAGCTAGTGATCAACTATTATATTAAATATTATTACTTTTACATTTTTTTTTATTAAAATGAAAATAAAAATATTAGAAATAAATACATAAAAAATATACAATATTTTTATAAAAAATGTATATTTTAATAAATAAATTAAATATTGTATTTTAAGAAGAAATTTAAAGTTCAAATTTTTCAACTATCATCTGCAATACACAGTATGTTTTTTATACATTTTACTTTGGTTATAGCTAGTTTGTCCTTAGGAATACAAATGGAAGTGATTCTTCAGTAGAACAGTGTTAAGGTTGCATGCAGGTATCCTACCTGGTGGAGCATTTCAACTTGCAAGTTATTTGACGGAATATGTTAACCTCCTGGATACTTAATGGGACATTTTAACTTGCAGAGGTTAAAAGAGGATGTGATCCTCGGTTAATTTTTTCAAGACACTTCACAATACCTTCTGGCCGCAATGACCTGCTGGCAACATAAATTCTTATTGTACTCTTGTATTGCAATGTATAGCTTATAAAATATATGATTTGTAATCATCTCGAATTTTTTTCATCTCCAAAAATCACTTCTTGTATATTTCTCTATATACAAATACACTTCTTATACATATTATATAACATTATGAAAAGTTCACATTGGCTTGGTTGGCATGAAATTCCATACATAACACCTGGAGCTAGGTTTTCCAAGTCAAAAAGCCAGCAACCATATAAAGTTTTCGAGCGGAGATCACGCGATTCCAGTTCTCCGTATAACACGGGCATTCCCCCATATCAAGCGGGAATTTGTGCAGTTCATAATTAGCTCCGCGTACCTTTGCACGTATGTATACGGGGTATACGGGAATACCCCTATTCCCGTTACGGGAATAATTTTAATATTTAAAATAGAATTGTTTATACCAATACACATAGAAATAATCTAAATTTCTATATTTTCTATATCTAAAAAAATTTATTCAAGATAAATATTTTCTTGCAGTAGCTTTGAAATTAACAGAGATAGACAATTGCTACTATAACTTCAGTAATAAGTAGGACTCGTCAACTGAAAATATGTGCTATGCATTTGCAGATGAAATACCCTCTAACCCCTCTTATTAAATTTTGTAAAAATAAAATAAACTAAATAAAATTTTCTAAATTATCATCAAATGTTGAAGCTGATGGTAATGGTTATGGTGATGGTGATGGCGATGTTGATGGTGATGGCACATTAATGACTAAAAGGCAGTAACGTGCGTGCATGCGTGTGCACGCATGTGCGGCATGAGCAATGCTGAATTTCTAATATTTCTATAATTGTTGGTCATTTATGGTGAGTCCTCGTCTCGTTAATGTCTTTTGTTTGTGATATACGTTCATTTTACTCCTCCTGTAGTTGCTCTACGATGTCCGACTACTATGCGCTGCGATGCTAGATTGATCAGAGTTTTTTCTTTAATTTAATCATTTAATTCAAAGTTCATGTTGTGCAGTCAAAAGTGCATTTTAGTATCTTGTTAGGCAAACCAAAAATTAAACGAATTAAAAGGGTGTCGAGTGCTCATTGTCAGCGCACCACTTAAGGGTATTAATTATGTTTGTGGCCACTATCTTTGGTCAAATGCACAGTTAGGCATTAGCAGTTCTCATGAATGCGGCATTAGGAGTTCGTGTTTTGAAAAGATGAGGGCTATGCACTTAAAGTGTCATTAACTGAAATTTGTGGCTTTTGTTTACTTGATTAATAAGAATTTAATAGTTAACAAATCATAAAATTAGCACCAAATTAAGGGAGAAACTCACAATTAACTATTTGTATCAAAAAATAGTGTTCGTATATTTGTACTTTGTTATAAATAAAATCTACAATAGGAAAAAAGTACTTATATAAATGTAGTAATATAATAAACAGAGAACAATTGCTTTTTAATAATTAATAAAAAAAATATCAAAAATCTAGCGATAATGAAGGAAACAAATCATCCGACTTTTAACTTAAAAAAGTTACATTTTTCAAACATTTGGTTAAATAATAGAATAGAATAGAATAGAAATAAACGGGGTACAAGCTCCCAACGGAGCAGAGCACTGCGACCAGATTAATCTTTTGTGCTGCAACTGACCCTAACCAAACAGAAGACATTCCACCTTCCGAATGAAGGCCAGAATGTCGTCCACTGAGAACCTCCTAATGTCAGAAGGGGAAAGCAGCTCTCCTCCCAGTGACCTCCTTCTTGCCCAGATCAAGGCTGGGCAGTCACAGAGAATGTGACTGGTAGTCTCGTCTGCTTCTAAGCAGAGTCGACACTTCGTCTCCTCGGACAGACCCATTTGATTAAGGTGATAACGCAGTCCATGGTGACTCGGTGAATATCCCACCAGCAATCTTAAGTCTGATCTGCTAAGGAGGGATGCCTTTGCCATATCTATATGGGTATTATATATATATTTTATTCTTTTTTTTTTCGTTTTTTTTTGACCAAAAATAGTAATATATATTTAATAGAATTAAATCAATATATCATTATAAAATTGTACAACGTCTACTTTTTATAATTACAAGAAAAAAAATGGATATTTGATTGAATTGGAATCATAGATCATAATTGGATATTGTATTATATACCTAGATTTCCGTTTTCATTTTCTTTTTGAATAAATCGAAAAAGATTTGTTTTAACAACTACAAGATTTGTCTGAGTGATTCACTTTTACTTTAATATGCGAGCTGTCCCTTATTCATCAATATTCGTGCGCTCCCAACTTCGATCTTTATACCATTTCTGGTGGCTTTCATAGACTGGCGTATAAATACCTATCGTTTATCTGTGGTATCACAAACAATTATTATTACCCTATGATAAGAGCAGAAGGTATAGCATTATTCCAAGTTTTTTCATCATTTGAGCAAACAGAAAATAGTTCTACATTGATTTTAGCAGATGGATTTTAAAAAATTAATAAGTTTTTGAGACTTAACGCTTAATCTATACTTTTATGATAAAAAAATAGACAAAAGTTTAAATCTTTCAATATGAGTAAATAGTTCAAAACTTTGAACTGTTCGGATATATATTTCACCTCAAATATTTAAAATAGTATATATATAAAGTATATATATGAGGAATATATGAGGTTTTATGTGGGTTATATGACTTGCTTGGTGTATTTAAAAAAAGATTGAAATATAATTCTCATATAGTTTGCATATAAAGAAGAAATCTAATATCAAGGATTTTTATTCCGGTTTTTCTGTAAATTGTGGTGTTAGTAGTTTTATATCTAACAGTGTAGCTTCGAATACACTTTAACAATAGTAAACAAAAAAAAAATAACTGTAAATTAATAGATTTTTACTATAACTATTAGCGAAACCACTTATTGTAATATTAAATTTATATTCAAATTATTCATGCAAAATAAATATCTAAATTGTTCCAACTATTGGAACCACTTGATTCAATTGCAGATATATATACTTACTGAAAATGAAATGCAGATATCAAAAATATCTTTATGCCTTTAGTTATATATCTGTTAAAATGCAAACCAATTAAATCCACCCATTAATTTTTGAAATCGGTTGCAATTTAAATGTTTTTATTCATGTCCGGGGTTTTTATTATTTATTTTTTATTTTTATTTATTTTTTTGATGTTTCCAACATTTAACAAAAACGGAGAAAATAAAATTTTGAGTGGCATTTAAATCTGTTCAGAAAAGTGGCTTAAACGTTTTTATCACTCGAAAGGTTTATGTATCGCCAATGTACAGATAACTGCACGTACTTATAAATAAACATTAAACATTTTTCAAATTATTTCTCATTAAAACTAATAAGAAAACAGAAAACAGAAAACATTGACAAAAAGTACTCACCTCAAGCCCGGTTCAAGCTGCACATGGAAATGACAGAGCACTTCGTAGAAAATAACAACAAAGGTTAAGTTCAACTGAAGATTAGGCCAAGTTAGTCAATTAACCGAAAAAGTCGAGAGTTGCTTGAAACGATTTACTGTTTGTTGTTGTGTCGGTTAAGTTGCAATTGCAAAAGAGTTTATTTTTTCCTTTAAATTTGTATTTTTTATTTCGTTTACAACAATAATTTTATTTATTTATTTTTTATTGTTGAGAAAATAAACGATTTTAATGACAACTGCCATTTGAACACCGAAGCTACTGTCCGCTTGCCAATGCAGCCACTTGAGCTAGGCTTCATGTTTATTGTGATTTCTAATATTTTTCTGATTTTACATAAATCATTTGTTGATACCCAAATGAAATTTGAGATAATCTTGTAATTACAAAAGAAAAATAAAGAAAAAATGCTGCAATATGCGGAAAAATTTAT